GCTACATAAATAATGTTTATTTTATTAATAATTAAATATACATAAACAAACTATACAGGGTGTCTTATTTTAAAAACCCCACGTGAATAACTTTTCAGAGAGACATTTTCAAGAAAAATGATTTAGACCAAAGTTGTTAGGTTTGGAGGGGGACATCCGATGATGACATTGGTTTAACCTAGGGTGTACATGCCAAGATCATATGGAGGTCAACTTTGTTTTTTAAATAGAACACCCTATTTTGATTCCAAAATTTAATAGCTGGTGTCAAGAGCTTTTCAAAACACTATAATGAAGTTATTTTTCATTAAGTACTTTCGAGTTATGAGGCTTGTAAATTACAGTATTTGACATAAAATATAAAATATCTTGTAAAACATTCAGTTTTTGAGAATGTTACTATAATACTTTAATGCACAAAATAATGAGACAAATGAATTGGTATAAAAAAACACATTGGTTTTAAAAAAAGTATGCAGTTGCATGTTGCAAATTACATATTTTTTCTTGAAAGCAACTATGTGTTTTCTTTATATCAATTGATTCGTCTCATTATTTTGTGCATAAAAGTATTAAGGTAAGATTCCCGAAAATTGAATGTTTTACAAGATATTTTGTATTTTTTGTCAAAATGCTGTAACTTTCAAGCCTCATAACTCGAAAAGTACTGAATGAAAAATAACCATTATAATGTTTTGAAAAGCTCTTGACGCCAGCTATTAGATTTTGGAATCAAAAATAGGGTGTTCTATTTAAAAAAACAAAGTTGACCTCCATATGATCTTGGCATGTACACCCTAGGTTAAACCAATGTCATCATCGGATGTCCTCCTCCAAACCCAACAACTTTGGTCTAAATCATTTTTCTTGAAAATGTCTCTCTAAAAAGTTATTCACGTGGAGTTTTTTAAATGGGACACCCTGTATATTGTTCTATAATATATTATCAATTATTTTATTCTTACCTTTATTATGAATGGAAGCAAACACTGCAAATTGGAACTTTTTGGCACTTTGACAATTTCCGAAATTAAGTTGAGTGGGGTGGACTTCCGAAAAGTTATCACCTTTGATTTGGCTGATATTCAGCCTAAATATTAATTTTATTTAGTAAATAATATTCCCAAGTGGATTTTTGACGCAAATGTCCCCTCCGCACCTAGCCCCCCTCAAAGGTAAAACTGTTTTTGTTAATTATTTCAGAAAGTATTCATTGTACGGAAAAAGTTGTCAAACAAAAAATGAAGTTCATAAAAAGCTCTACAAATAAGGTCCTATACATATTTTACCTAACTCCAATATTTTAGTCGTTATTATCAAAAAACTTGTAAAAGCTCCCATAGGAGGGGCGGCACCCACTGCATCCACGCATACACTTTACAACGCGAAGCGAGGTTCCACATGGGTTTACGACTTTCTACACAAAGCGAGATTCAATCCAAACCCTATGTGTATAGTTGTATGATGGTGGAGCCCCCCGCAGGAGGGCGGAACACACTGCCTCCACGCATACACTTTCTACGCAAAGCGAGGTTCCACATGGGTTTACAAATTTCTACGCAAAGCGAGACCCTATGTGTATAGTTTTTTGATGGTGGAGCCCCCCGCAGGGTGACGGAACACACTGCCTCCAGATTTTTGATAATAATGGCTAAAATATTGAAGTTAGGTAAAATATGTATAAGACCTTATTTGTAGAGCATTTTATGAGCTTCATTTTTTGTTTGACAACTTTTTCCGTACAATAAATACTTTCTGAAATAATTAAGAAAAACAGTTTTACCTTTGAGGGGGGCTAGAGAGCGGAGAAGGCATTTGCGCCAAAAATCCATTTGGGAATATTATTTACTAGATAAAATAAGTATTTAGGCTGAAAATCAGCCAAATCGGAGGTGATAGCTTTTTGGAAGTTTATCCGTTGAGTGCCTTGAATCTAGATACAGTTATTTAGCACAAAACACGTCTTGTTTTTGTTGAACTCTTTTCACAAAGAGTTCCTTTACTATCAATTGCTACACAATTGTACACAAAATGATTACTTGCTAAATTCTCGTGTTTGAGTGTAACGGAGTTAGGTTATGTTAAGTACGAACACTACGAGAATAAAAGTGAAGATGGCTGACTCAATGAGTATAATGATACGTGCTCGCGCATGTTATTAAGAAATACAGAATGTTAAATAAGTGATATGTATCAAGAATACATACGCCATATTATCATTTAAGAGAAATGTTATAAGTTATATGCATAATTATAGAAATATTACTTCGTTCTCTAAATGTGCTCTTGGAGTTATATAACAGATACATATTGGTTTGCTGGGTATATATTATGTATTAATGAAAATAAACATTATTTATGCAGCGAAGAAAATGTTACGATTTCCTGAGAGATGCCTAAACAACCCAGCCTATTTCTAATATACCAACGCTTCTGAGCCAGAGCTATCGGCGGCTCGGTCGCCAGTGGCCGGGCGGTAGTGGGGGAACAGGAGGCGTCGTCTCGGGAATCGGCCCAAAATGTGCAACTAATTCCGAGCTCTGATATAAAGCATACTTAAAAAAATTTTTTTAAAACTAAAAAAAACAAAAAGGAAGCAAATTACTGCTACGTTCACGTCCACGTTGGTTCTGGGTCACACCAAATGCGGCTTCTATAAAATTAATATAAGACAATTCATGTCATGATCAAAGATAAATGCAAAAGAAATTAATATTTCGAATTTCTATCACACAAAAATCAATAATGATGACGATTTTGTTATAAAGAAAAGTTGTGCTCGTTTAGCACAATTCGGCACAACAAATTTTTCACCTTCTCCCCTTTTGGATGGTTGTTGATCAACTCTCGCGCTTATCAATACTTTTTTTGTTTGTTTCTTCTTTATAATAATTATTACAATCACTACAAAGCGAGCTAGAATATAGCACAATCTACAAAAATTCGATAAACGTGTTATACAATAAAATAATTTATATATTATTATTTTCTTCATGTTTAGGAATTTTTTTTAGCTAAACGGAAAAAGATATCAAGATCTTTCCAACGGCACAACATGGCACAAATTTATACTAATTTGCCCAAAAAAAATGGATTTGATCGCGAAAAAGTGCGGGGCTAATAAAAATTTAATTTTTCAAATTTTTTTTTATATGATTTTAATTATTAATTTTGCATTTGCGGCACAAATTGGTACAAACGTAGTACAATACAGCACAATTAATAAAAAATTTGAAAAGTTGCGGGGCTAGAGCAAATTTTATTTCTGAAGTATGCTTTACGTGATTGAGTTGTGGCTTACAGCACAAATCGACACAAACATAGCACAATGCAGCACAATTAATAAAAATACAAAATTCGGAAAATGCAAGGCTAACTTCTCACTCTTCAACTATTTAAACCCATTAATACGCAAAGCATATATTTTATCCATATGTGCCGCGCACGCGTGAGATATTCGAATTATATAACATTTTAATATATAAATTTGAAATAAATTTACCCTTTAACTTAGACTCAACACACAATAGAGAAAATATTAAGAATAAGAATAAATATTAAATATTAAGAACAGTAATTTGGAATTATTTTACTTCAAACAAGGCAACGGAATAGATTAATTATTTCTAATTTCTATTTTCTAATTCATGATGCGTTAATCCATTTTATTTTCTTGTTTTCAAATAAAATAATTCCAATTTTCTATTCTTAATATTTAATATTATATTCCTGTTTCTAATATTTTCTTTATTGTACGTTGGGCCTTAACTTTACTTGACACACGATTAATCGCAATTAAAGGATAATAATAATAAATAAATAATCTATAAAAATCCATAGCGTTTAAATATATAAATTAAATTTATCTATTTTAAAATATGTAAATTAATTTTATATTCTATTAAATTTTAGCGAATTTAATGATCCTGTAGTATAAAAAGTAAATTTTTAATAATTATAAAAAATAACATATAAAATAAATTATTTCTTTAAGAATTTCTTAAAAATAGAAACGATTTAAAATAGCATTGTTGATTGAAAATCCTCCTCATAAGCATTCGATAATAATAATTCTTATTTAATAGATTTTAATTATTAAATTTGTAGTAAATAAATAAGTTGTTGCTCGAAATGATTTAATCTCATAGCAAAACGTATTCTAAAAATTAGGCTGTAGCAAAAAATGGTTACAATTATTCGTATATACTTGAAGCACTACAATGCTCGAAATTAATTCAGCTTTTCAACCGATTCTCGAAATTGACGCCTTCTTTTCTCTTCTTACCGCGCGTTGCAGCCGCTTAGGCTAGCGCCGCCGAGCGTTAAGAACGACACTATCCAATTAATGAGTGGGTTCTTCTCTTAAAAGAACTTTCATTATTGAAATTTAAGAAAATTTATTAGAAATATTATTTTTATAATTTTTAAATTTATTATATGGAAATATTTTAATATAGAGAACTACGTTACCTATGAGAGATTATTGCTGACGCATTTTTAAAGTAGTTTTCTCAGTAGGCCTAATCCACTAAAGACAAAATTTTCTCATAAAAGGCCAAGAAAATCTTTTTTATGTTTTATTTTTTTAATTAAAAATTCGTTATTTTTAATATTAATATTAAACTAACTGTATAATAATTACTAATAATTATCTTTGTTGAACAAAAATATTATGTAAAGCAATATTGAACAACATCTACAAATAATAATTTGAATAAATAAGAATATATGTAATATTGATCCGGAATTTCTAGTGAGAAATATTAATTTAAGTTTTTATAAAGAGCTTTTTATTATTGCAATTATATTAGACAATTATTAGTAACATAATAATAACTGATTGAATCTATTAAATATCAGAGAGTTTCTACTTTTTTTAAGTTATTAAATAAATTGTCTTTTAATTGCATGAAAAGTGGAAAAGGCTAAAGATGAAGCAAAAGATTAATGTCATGCTCACTAAAAAGACACCTAACAGGACATTTATTCTTTGATCTCAGGCTTTCTCGCCCAGCAATAAATACGTTGTATCAGTCGGCTCGCAACATGACATGATTGTCAACGTCTGGGACTGGAGGAATAACGTTAAAGTGGCATCCAACAAAGTCTCGAGCAAGGTGAAGGCTGTTTGCTTCGCGGAAAATGGCAATTATTTCGTCACCGTGGGTAATCGACATGTCAAATTTTGGTACCTGGAATATTCCCGCAGTGCCAAGGTAACTTTTAACTCATCTCATCTTTTATCTTATCTTGAGACATCTCCCTTTATGCGACATTTAAGATTTTTCTTTCCCTTTTTCTTTGCGACATCGATGTTGAATTAAAATAAAAATCAAATAGAAAACTAATATTTGGTAACTATTTAATATTACATAATAAAGTCCAATTATTTTGATCTTGACATGTAGGATCCTTGATGGAAACGCTACCATGCACTTAAAGAATACTTTATTACAAAAAGTGAAATAAACATAAAATCACATAAGGCGCGTTCTTTTACCGCGGAATCTCACAAGAGATCTTACTACTACTAAAACTAAATTTATCGTTATTCTAATCGCCGCTAGGCGCAATCGTGCAGCGCGCGCACGGCAAACGGATTTCCGATTCCTACATATATTATCAAGATCATGGTTCTGAGTGACAAAAAAACAATTTCAGCCATCAATATTAACCAATTGAAATCGAATATGCTAGTTTGATATACGAATGGATAAAAAATGGACAACAAATTATCGATAAGAGCTGCTATTGTTCCGGAAGAAACTGAAGAGAAATATAATATTAGTTTAAATGACAAGTGCTCCATTTTTACTGCGGGGAAACAACCATTGAAAAGATCATTGATTGATGTTTAGAAAAATATATAAATAGAGATATTTTTCTCCTAACAGAACCCTTAAGTTCAGTTAAAACTGTAGAAAATAATGAATTGAAAGTTTTTACCAACTCCTTTTGCTGTAAGAAGAAGAGTATATGAATTTAATAGAAAATAGAATAATTTATATAAAATTCTACTAGAATGATTTTTGATCCATTTTGGGAAAATCAGAGAATATGATCTGAGAATAAAGGTTTTTTATAGTGATCTGAAAGCTAAATTTGAGATTCAGATGATAGATAGATGGTTAGAAATCGAGGCTGACTATAAAGGCTCGTATTTTAATTTATATTATGATAAGACTCGGAAGAAAAGTTGGTTTTATGACATTAAGATTTGAGCGCTAATTAATTTTCGTAAGAAATTATTATTAAAATTTATACCATTTGCATTTAGAGACTTCATAAATATAATTTCATGATTTCAATGATATTGACTTATTAATTACTGAGATATTTGACTTTAAAGAAGAAACTTTTACACAGAATTTTATAACAAAAGTCGATGTTACATTTAATTATATACTGCAATAAAAAAACTATTCTTATGATAATAAACTAGTTAATAATAAATAAGTTTATAATGAAACTTTTAGGAAAAAGGTTACAACAGTTCACTTGTTAATTACTAAGAAATTAAAGTTTGAAATTTGAAAATTTTTTAATGATGAAGCACTGATATAATATGACAATACTACATTATTGTGACGTACGAGGTTAATATAATATTAATCCATTTTCCGTTATGTCTCACTTTCGTCGACGTATTTTATACTTAATAATATAAAAAATTACAATTATCAATCTAATTAAGATTTCCTTTATATTAGATTAAATTTATTAAGATTAAATAATTTAATTGTTTAGTATATAACAGACATGTAGCTTTATAGCTCATATTTTGTCGCGCAGTACAAGGAACCTGTGCCTTTAATGGGCCGATCTGCCATATTAGGCGAGCAAAGGAACAACGATTTCGTTGATGTGACCTGCGGCAGAGGAGAAATGGCGGATTCCACATATGCAATCACCAAAACAGGCCTGTTATGTGAATTTAATAACAGGAGACTTTTGGACAAATGGGTTGAGCTCCGAGTAAGTTGTTATTAATAAACATTAAGACTTTCAGTTCTGTGCGCGCATTGCGCAATCGAGCGTACATAAAGGAAATAGAATATAAACGATTCATTTTAAAGACAAAAAATCTAGGTCTAATAATTTTCAATCAGAAAATGGGAAAAGAACCAGAGTATGAGAACCAAACGCAAATGTAAGTGCGTTAATTACTATTGTACCAAAAAGATTACACAAATATACCGGGTAATTCATTTTTATCTTAACAAGCAATATTTCGAAAATATATAATTTTACAAAAAAACATTCCGGATGAAAGTTTATGTTATAGAGGAGGACGTACAATGGTGATCCTGGTTTGACCTTGTGACGTCTACTCAAAGTCAGGTCAAGATCTACCTAATTTTTTCAAATGGAAAAAACCTACCACTATTTTTCATTGCATTTGCAAATTGAACTAATTCAAATGAACATTTTTGGTATCTTGATAATTTTTTATAAAATCAATAATTTCCGAGATATTTGGGTTTAAAAAGTGAAAAATTTTACAATTGACTCTTGACTGCGTAAACTCTTGGCGCTATCCAGGATCAACGACGAAAACATGGCGGTGATTTGATCTCTTTTGGAGTACCTACTTGATTACCATGAGTCCTCTTGTCTCTCACTATTTACGTCTTATAACATTTGTTCGAATATATCACCATTCACTTCATTATACATTTGGAGCCTATGACGTAATGCAATCGTAGACCTTCGAAGAAATTCTTCGGGAATAGTTGCCAGAACTCTGGTGATACGATTTCTCATATCGACTAGATTCATTGGCTCCATAGCAAAAACAATCCTTTTAATATACCCCCATAGGAAGATTCATAAGGTGTTAAATCAGGAGAATTTGGAGGCCACCAAACGTTGAATCCTATCCAACGTTCAGGATATCTTTGGTGTAAATAGTCGTCTAACTCCTCTGTGCAGAGGAGCACCATCGTGTTGAAACCATATGCGTCTCCTAGTTTCTAAATTGGTATCCTCTAAAAATTCATGTAGATCATTTTGCAAGAACTATAAATACATTTCTCGATTAAGATTACCTTTGAAGAAATGAGGTCCAATAATATGGCCATCCAATACACTACACCAAATTTACCTTCCACTGATGCTGATAATCGACGAACCCAAAATGGATTAACATCTGAATAATAATGGCAATTGTGATAATTTAATTTTTCTGAAAAGTTGATTCATCGCAAAATAAAACCTTGTCAAAAAGTTCGGCTCTTTTTGTAATATTCCCAAACTCTAATGACAAAATTCAACGCGTTCTCGTTTTTTATTTTCAATAAGTGCTTGATGTCATTGAATATGATAAGCGTAGAAATAATTCGCTTTCAAAATTCGTTGAACAGTTGATTGAGAAATATTGAGTTCTCGACTACGTTCCACGTTGACCAATTTGAGGATTTATCACTATTATTCCTAAAATAGCTGTATATAGGTAAATAATTAGTCATGTTAAAAATTATCAAGGAAACAAATTTTTAATTATTTTACTTATTTTACTTATTTTTTTTTATTGATTAATTTATGTATGTATGGCTCGTCCACAGTCCGTCACTTATGTACTTTCCAAGCATGTTTCATTAACGAGCAATCCCGGATGCTGCATCAGCCATCTCGCGGCGGAGCGCATACTACATACGTTTACCGGGTAGTAGAAGGTCAGACGGAATCGAGCAAGTGTAATGCAGAAGGCGAAACCTAACGTGAGAAGCAAGGGAAATCAAGCATTCCAAAAGGGATCAAATTACCGCCACGTCCACGGCGTTGATTCTGGATAGCGCTAAAAGCAGTTTACGCAGTCAAGAGTCGATTGTACAATTTTCCACTTTTTGAACCCAAATATCTCAGAAACTATTGGCTTTATAAAAAATTATCAAGATACCAAAAATGTATATTTGGATTAGCTCAATCTGCAAATGCAATGAAAAATAAGGATTTTTGTTTGAAAAAGTAGGTTGACGTTGACTCGAGTAGACGTCACAAGGTCTAACCAGGGTCACCATTGTACGTCCCCCTCTATAACATACAACTTTCATCCGGAAAGTTTTTTCGTAAAATTGCATATTTTTGAAATATTTGCCTGTTAAGATTAAAATAAATCACCCGGTATAAAGAAATAATTTGACTTAATATTGGGTTCTCTTTAGTAAACAAATAAAAATAATACAGGAACGCAAAATTACATGAAAATATGGAAATATAAAAGCGATTGCAAATAATTATGATAAATTAGCGCATAGATTTACATTTGTATTTGTTCTATTTTCCTTCTCTAATAGCAATTAAAACATTAAATTAATTAGAGCAAATTAGAGTGAATTAAGGCACTTATATTCACGTTCAGCTCATACGCCCTTCTTTTTCTCGTTTTTGAACAAAAAATCTATTTGAAATATAAATATTTTTGAGAATAAAAACTACATTTTTCATATTTTTTTCAGACAACCAGTGCCAATTGCATGGCGGTCGGAGATAAATATATTTTTATCGGATGCGCAGAAGGAATTGTAAGGTGTTTTAGTCCTAGTACGCTTCAATTTATCACTACACTACCGAGAACACATTATTTAGGGGTCGATGTAGCGCAAGGATTGTCTATCAGGTACATTTTATAGCAATAACAACAACTTTAGATCGATTTTCTCCCACAAGTAAAACAACCAGATTTCTAAGATACCAATAAAAAAAAAGACACTTACAGGACACTTTGTAGAAATATGCTAATGTGACTTAAAGTTCATGATTGCCAAAAATGTATGCAAGTGACACAAAATGCAATTCTTACAAAGTTTTAGCACAAAAAATTGTGAATTTAATTTGAAAAAAACATTCCATTTATGTTACATTGAATAATTAAAAATTACAGTATTGGTATTTTTCAGTAAAATGTATTTGTTTATGTCATTGTGGATTATTATATAAGTTATTATAAAAATCATTGCAAAATTTCACGTTAAATTTTAATATAATAGATTTTAACATATCCATCTTCATTTTCATTTTTTTTATTGTCCCCATTTTATTTATTAATGAGAATAGAGCACTTTGCGCAGCACATTCTACGCGATTCTTGTTTGTTTGTGTATGAGCGTCTTATTTCTTGTAACAGTGGTGTTTATCATGTAATGTACGTGAAAATGTATACGAACTAATAAAAAAATGAGGGTAAACCTTGGGAATATGGTCCTCAAAAAAGTAATGGACAAAAATGCTCAATTCCCAGCTGGTTGAAGTTTGGAACGTTCCTGGAACGATTTTTTAAAAATGATTTGTCGCTCTTGTCCTTTTGCAGGGAGAAAGTTTTGAGACCCACAAACAAAGTACAAAAAAGACCGATCCGATACATGCGTCGGAAGACACCCTTATACCAGAAAAACAACCCCCAAAATCACTTAAACAATTCTAGCCAAGCTAAAAATGATTTGTCGCTCTTTTCCTTCTGCACAGAGAAAGTTCCGAGGCCCTCACACGACATGCAAAAAAGACCGATTCGATACATGCGTCGGAAGACACCCTTATACCCGAAAAACCACCCCCAAAATCACTTAAACAATTCTAGACAAGCTAAAAATAACTTGTCGCTCTTTTCCTTCTGCATAGAGAAAGTTCTGAGGCCCTCACATAACATATAAAACAGACCGATCCGATACATGCGTCGGAAGACACCCTTATACCCGAAAAACCACCCCCAAAATCACTTAAACCATTCTAGCCAAGCTAAAAATGACTTGTCGCTCTTTTCCTTCTGCATGGAGAAAGTTCCGAGGCCCTCACACGACATGCAAAAAGACCGATTTGATACATGCGTCGGAAGACACCCTTATACCCAAAAAACCACCCCCAAAATCACTTAAACCAATTTA